CGCCGAGCCGCCCTTGCCTTTCGCCCTGCCCTCGGCCCTCGCAATGGTCTCCTCGCGCGCCTCCCGAGCCTCCTTCGCGATGGCCGACTCCTGCTGCAGCTGGTCGGCCACGTGCGCCGACAAACTCGGCGCGATGGCTGCTCCTCATGCCCGGCGACCCCAGCCCGTGAACTGGTCGGCAAAGCTGTAGTCGTGCTGGCACGGCGAGATGCGGTGCGCCTCTTTGATCAGAGCCATACTGCGAGCCAGCAGCTCGCAGCACGCGCGCAACGGGCAGTTGCGCCGGTCCTGCATCGCGGCTGCGTCGAAGATGCGGCTCAAAACCTCGTGCTCGCACACACTCCTGTCACCAGCTGGAACCCGAGAGAACCTGGCCCAGTTCTCGTGCGCGTGGAAGGCGCTGTTGCCATGGTCACGCACATGCTCCATATACCACATCACCGTGCGCGGCCCTTGCAGATTCCACCCACCTTGGACCGAGCCCTCCGACGAGCTGGCCACGGCATGATCCGACGTGCGACGGCGCTCGCCCTGAAAGTCGAGCCTCACGGCCAGGGTGCGGATGTCTCCGCGCGCCAGCGCCAGCGCGTCGGCCTGTGGCAGCTGCGCCACGCACACCGAGAAGCCGCCAGCCTGCACGATCGCCCTGTCGCTCATCACCGCCATGCCTGCAGGCAACTGGCGGCGCACCATACCACCGATCGCGTACCCAGCGCGATCCTCCAGCGCACACCAGCTCGAGCCCGTAGAAGGTACCAGCTGACCTCCTGCCGCGGGCGCCGCCGCGCTTGCACCTCCGCCCAGACCTGGGGGGATGCCAAGCGCGGGGCCTGCCGCCGCGCCGATCGCCGCCGCCGCGGGCGCCCCGGCAGGCGCGATCAAGCCTCCAGCAGCAGCAGCAGCAGCAGCAGCAGCAGCAGCAGCAGCAGCAGCAGCAGCAGGGCCGGCCGCGCCCGGGACCGCAATGGCGCCGCCTGGGACGGCGGGCAGCAGTGCGCCTGCGCCAGGAGCTCCGCCTCCGCCCGCGCCAGCAGCCACAGCAGCGGCGCCTCCGCCTGGCGCCTGGTCATAGTGGAAGACCAGCGGCAACGGCGGGCAGGCTACGCCCAAGGTGCGGGCTCCCAGCATCGCGTAAGCATCCACCAGCGGCTGCGGCGGCGCCGCGCGAAAGCCGTAGATGTCCGCCGCCGCGATCCCATGCGGCACCTCGGCCGCGTGCGAAAGCACCAGCACGTCGCTGAAGTCGGGCCCGATCGCGAACGTCTCCTGATAATGATCGCGATCAAGCGTGAGGCCGTAGGCGTCGTGGGTGCCTGGGCGCACCGCTAGCAGCAGCCGAACGTGGAACACCGCGGGCCCAGGCACTCCGCGATACCTCACCAGGAGGAAGTTCCTGGCCGCAAACGCCGCCATCACGCCTGGCGAGCAACCTTGCGACTCCTACCGAAGCTGAGTGGCGCGCGCGCCTGCTCCACGAAGGTGAGCTGCGGCGTCTCCCGCCTGCCCGCCTCCACGCGAGCCCTCGGCGGCAGCGTCTCACGCGTGGGGAGCCCCCATACCGCGCCCGCGACCCGCGCCCAGCGGCTGCGGCCGGGCGAGCGCCCAGCGGCAGCGCACGAGGCGCCCACGAGGCGCCCTCCCGCGGCGGCGCGGCCATAGGAGAGAGAGCCCCGCAGCCGCCCGCCGAAGCCGGAGGAGGAGGAGGAGGAGGAGGAGGAGGAGGAGGAGGAGGAGGAGGAGGAGGAGGAGGAGACAGGTCGCCACCGGCACCAGCGCGAGGAAGGCAGCACCCGCGATCGCCCGCGGCGAGGGCACGCCACACACGCAGGTCGCCGCCAGCGGCGGAGGGCACACACGGCTGGGCGAGCACTCGGGGCACGGAGCGCTGCCACCCCAGAGCGCCAGGCCCGCGCGGATCCCGCGCACAAGCTCGAGAACGGAAGCAAGGGCGACCTGCGCAGCCAGAAAAACTTGAGCCACCGTTGCCATGGAACGGAACGATGCTCACAAGACGGCGAAGCTCTCAACCCGCAGACAACATTCCTGAGCAAGCACATCCATCGTCTTCGTCAACAGTAGGAGCATCAGCATCGGCATCAGCAGCAGCATCATCGTCATCATGAGCATCGTCTTCATCATGAACACCACCAACAGCACCATCAGCATCATCACCATCATCATAATCATCATCAGCAGCATCATCGTCAGCAGCAGCAGCATGATCATAATCAGCATCAGCATCACCATCATCAACATCAGCATAATTAACATCATCATCATCATCATCAACAACAACAACACCAACAACACCAACAACAACAACAACAACAGCATCATCCGCGTTACCAGCATCGTTAGCAAGATCCGCATCATCATCAGCATCAACAACAACAGCATCAACATCAGCATCGTCAGCAGCATCAGCATCAGCATCATCCGCATCAGCATTAACATCACCATCACCATCATCATCAGCAGCATCCTCAGCATCAGCATCAGCGTCAGCATCATCATCAGCATCAGCATCATCGTCATGCTCCTCACCATCCTCCT